CTGAGTTCAATCCCTGGTTTTGCCAAAAAAAAAAAAAAAAAAAAAGTACAGTCTAAGATGTTCCAGCCCTACTTTTTCAGTCAGCATCTCCAAACCTTTCCAAACTCCCACCTTCCTACAAGCCAGCTCCAAAGGCTCCTAAAACACATGGTCAAGTACTCATAGACATGACCCTACTTCCATGGTACCAGATTCTATCTTAGTTTTCTTGCTGCTGAGACAAAATACCAACACCCATAAGTTAAGGGAGGAAAGAAACTTATCTAGTTCACAGTTTCTAAAGGTTTCAGTCCATAACCAGCTGGCCCAAGGTAGGGTAGCACAGGGCAGACAGGCATCACAGAGGACAAACAGTGTACGTCCCTTGTATGCTTCAGAAGCTTGGATTTGACAAAATGTATATGACGAATTGCGACAGTGTATCCACAACTCTCCTCAGTTCAGATTCGATTGGTTTCTGAAGTCCAGAACTGCAATGGGCCAGAGGAGGTGGAACACTTTAATTACATTGATTGAAGGAGAAAACATGGAGGTAGAAGAAAAGGCGAAGGCAGAGAAAAAGAAACGAGGACCAAAGCCTACAACACAGAAGCATAAAATGGACAGAGCACCTGATGGTAGAGGAAGGAAAAAGAAGCTAAAACTATGAATGCATATTTGTTTCCTAATCACTCGCTGCTAAACAGTAGTTCTTTAATTTACGGGTCTTCATAATAGGTACTGTGCAATGCTCAGTTACGTCACTCAGAGACATCAGGTCTATCTGTTTACTGAGCTGGAGATATAGTATGTAGTTTCACTTTTTCAAATAGAACAGCTGTGCTGAAATTTTTTATCATTAACACTTGAAGTAGGGGCTGGTGAGATGGCTCAGTGGTCTAAAGCACCTACTCAAAACAAGCTTAGCAAAGCACAGGGACTGCGGTTCAATCCCCAGCACCACATGCCAGCCCGCCCTGCCCCCTGGTGGGCTGAGCTGGCCACACACAAAATAAATAAATAAATAATTTAAAAAAAAACAAAACAAAACACTTGAAGTAATAAAATAGCTTCATTTATTTTTTTTTAAAAAAAGTGTATGTCCAGTAGAAGGTAACAAAGCAAACAAGGGAGCTTACCAGCTTTTTTTCTGCCCCTTCTATATTGCAGCCAGGCTACTACGATTAGGGTGGTACAAACCAATCAGTGGATTGATTTAGTAATTACCCACCCTTAATCCTAGCATCACGTACTCTATAAGTACTGCGTGCTAACCAATCACACTACTGGAGCATCCTACGTCACAGACTCTAGATCCAGCCACCTCTGAAAACCCTACCTATGACTGCATGAAGCTTTAGGGAGACATGTAGACACAGACCATTACACCTGCCTAGATTCTCACTTCTGGGGCAGAAGCGTGACTCAGTGATAGAACACATGCTTGGCATGCAGGAGACCCAGCATTACAAAAAAGGAAAAGAAAAGAAAAAAGGCCGGCACAATGCTGTATGCTTGTAATTCCACTATTCTAAGAGCCTGAGCCAGGAGGATTCCAAATTTGAGCCTAACCTGGGGAATTTAGTAACTGAATGAGACCTTGTCTGTGTTTTTGTTTTGTTTTGTTTTGTTTTGTTTATTTATGGGGGGGCAGCTCAGCCCACCAGGGGGCGGGGCTGGCTGGCATGTGGTGCTGGGGGATTGAACCGTGGTCCCTGTGTTTCCTAAGCTTGTTCTAAGTAGGTGCTTTAGACCACTGAGCCATCTCACCAGCCCCTTGTTTTTTTTTTTTTAAGGGGAGATTTGGGCTGGTGAGATAGCTCAGCAGACTAAACACCTGCTTAGGCAAGCAAAAGGACCAGGATTGGATCCCCAGCATCACATGCCACACTGGACCTGCCCCTGGGTGCACTGAGCCAGCCACTGAGACCCAGTGTGGTGGCACATGCCTGTAATCCCAGCACTGGGGAGGCTGAAAACAGGAGGATCACTATGAGTCTGAGCTTCGTAGTGAGACCCTGTACCAAATTCATATAAATAAATAAATAAATAAATAAATAAATAAATAAATAAATGAGTTGGAGATATAGGTCAGTGTGAAGGCCCTGGGTTCACTTCCCAATGGGGGAGGGAGGGAGGGAGGGAAGGAGAGAGAGAGAGAGAGAGAGAGAGAGAGAGAGAGAGAGAGAGAGAGAGAGAGAGCTGGGAACACACCTGTGATGCCAGCACTTGGAAGGCTGAGGCAGAGGGATCGCTGTGAGTTTCAAGACCAGCCTGGGCTACATAGTGAGTTTATGGCCAGCTTGCACTACATAGTAAGACCCTTCTAGAAGAAAAAGAGACAGAGAGGGAGAGAGAGAGAGAGAGAGAGAGAGAGAGAGAGAGAGAGAGAGAGCTCGCCAGATAGCTCAGCAGTCTAAAGCACCTGCTTAGGCAAGCACTAGAGGGCCAGGGTTCTATCCCCATGCCCTGCTGGCCCCACCCCCAGGGCAAACTGAGACAGCAAATGAGACGAGGCATGGTGGCACACACCTGTAACCCCAGCGCTTGGGAAGCTGAAAACAGGAGGATCACTAGGAGTCTGGTCTGTACAGTGAGACTCTGTACTAAATACATTTAAAAAAAAAAAAGAGTGAAGGAAATGCCTGTGTCAGGCTGTGGCCTGTGGCCAACAGCTACGACCTGTTGGGTCTGCATCAAGTAACCCAAATAGAATTTTTGCTTTTTTTTTTTTTTTTTTTTTTTTTTTTAGATAGTGTCTTGCTATATAGTTCAGGCTGGCCTTGAACCTGTGAGAATCCTACCTCGGTCCCCAAATGGTGGGAGGGCAGGTGTGTGTCACCATCCCCAGCTCTGGCTGATAACCTGACTGCAGCCCTGTGAGGAGGTGGGGCTGGAGGAATCTGCTTCACTTGGCTGTGAGCAGACTGCTGTTCCACAGACACTGAGGCAGGCCTGCAGTAGTTTTCACTGCTATATTTGGAAGTCATTTGTTTCATGTCAACAGCTAACTAATAGGGTGGGCTTTCTTTCTTGGACTTTCCAGGGCATCCCTTAAATTGATGTTACTTAGTGATTACCTATTGTCTTCTTCCCCACCCTCCCAGGGCCTTCACACTGAACTCTGTCCCTAGTGCTTTTCTTTTTTTTCTTTCTTTTTTTTTTTTTTTTTTTGAGGCAGGATCTTGCTGTGTAGTTTAGACTGGCCTTGAACTTGCCATGTAACCCAGGGTGGCCTTGAACTTGCAGCAATCCTTTTGCTTCAGCCTCCTAGGTGCTGGGATTACAGGGATGCACTACCATGTCCAGTTCATGTTTTTATTTTTATTTTTTTTTTTATTTTGAGGAAGAGTCTTGCCAACTCACTAAATGGCCAAGACTAGATTTGGACCTGCAATCCTCCTGCCTCAGCCTTCCAGAGGACTGGGACGACAGGAATGCACCATCATGCCTGGCTCCTCAGTATTTATCAAGTGCTCTCTGTGTATCTGGCCTAACAGATGGCTCTGTCAGAGACCACAGAACCATGCAGAAATACTTCCAGGCAGTGAAGTGCCTAGAGGAGGCAAGGTTCATGAAAAGGCCCAGGGGCTGCAGTATTGGTGCCCAGTATTGGCTGTGAGCACAGCTGTGACCTCATTAGACATCTGGAAATGACGGAATCCTCCAGATACAGGAAGAAGGCAGGCGCCCAACTGCCTAGGAGGCTGCCTGTGCTTACAGCCCAGCTCTGCAGCGCACAGACTTCGGTCTCCCTGGGCCTGTTTCTCTGTCTGTTAAATGGGAGTGAGAACAGGCCCCATCAGGAAGTTGTGCAAAGTACTCAGTGGGGATGGTGTGCTCAGGGCTCACGATCTGGTTCCAGAGTCCCACAGGTAAGAGAAAGTCACAAACCACAGCCAAGGAGGTGGACAGGGTGCCACTGACCCTGAGCAGCAGCTCTGGGCAGGGGCAAGAGTTGACCTTGCCACTGGGAGCTGGGGACAAGGCCCAGGTTCCTGACTTTCCGGGAAAAGACACCCCTGGGACTGGGCCTGAGTCCCAATCAAGGTTCCAGGGCAGCTGGACACGTGGGTGTAGCTCTGTAATTCCAGAACTCAGGAGGCTGAGGCAGGGGGAATCACCATGAGTGGCAGTCCAGGCTGGGCTGCATAGCAAGACCCTGTCTCAAAACAAAATAAAAAAATCCTGAGTCTCAGGGGACCCCAACAAGCAATGTTGGGCTTAATCTAGTTCTAAAGTAAGGGCTGTGCTTTGTTTTTCAGTACTTGGGACTGAGCCCAGGGCCGTTGCAGTGAGGTTTATCTCTAGCCCCCACTTTTTTTTTTAAGCAGAGACTCCCTATATCACTAAATTGTGCAGGCTGGGCTGGCAGCGGATGTTCTATTCTCAAACTCTCACCTCTACTAGCTCGGCTTCCGGTGTTGCTTCTAGCGTTCTCAGTCTCCCCTTCTCAGAAATGAGGATAATAGCAGAAAGCACTGCAGCACACTCTAAAGACGAAATGCTTTTAAACACTCAAGGCACTTTTCAACAGTGCGGAGAATCAGTGTCAGACTCCTTACATTGCCGCGAAACAGGAGCTTGCTGCGGCTGTTATTCAGGAGGAAAGCAAGGCCACTTAGTGCCGAGGTGGGGACTGAAGGAGGTCGATGCAAGGCAGGCCAGCCAGGGCCTTTCAGGAAGAGCTGAGGAGGTCGCGCAACCCGGCAGCCCCGCACCGCCGCCCTCCGCTCTAGCCGCCAGAGGCCGCTGTGCCACCGTGCACCGAGCTCCGGCCGCCAGCCCCGCCCACACCCTCGGACACGTCACGAGGCCACGCCCCCGGTTCCGCCTAACCGAGAGGGGTCGGGCTCAGCGCCAAGGTCCCGCGCCTCAAGGCTCCTTCGCTCGGCCCCGCCCCCAACAGAAGGCCCCTCCCCCGACCGCGCCCCTCTCAGAAGACCCTGGCCCCGCCCCCATCGACCCAGCTTCACACTGGAGGCTCCCTCCACAGGGTCCCGCCCCCTACTCCGCCCCGTCCAGAAGGCCCCGGGCGTGCGGCCCTCGGCCCAGAAGTCCCTGCCTCCTCCAGCTTGGGTTCGCTAGGTCGCAGCATGAGTCTTCCCGCTGCCAGCCCGCTCTTCGCACCCGGTGAGGACTGCGCCCCTGCGTGGCGCGCAGCGCCAGCCGCTTACAATGCGGCCGACACACACCTGGAAATCCTGGGCAAGCCGGTGATGGAGCGCTGGGAGACGCCCTACATGCACTCGCTGGCGGCTGCTGCCTCCTCCAGAGGTAGTTCCCGCCCGCGCTGGAACGGGGGTAAACTGAGGCTGGGCGGGCGTTATAACTCCAGGTCCAGCTCAGATGCTTCAGCACCTCTGTGTACTTTGGCTCCTGCGCCTGGGTGATGGGGCTGCTAGTGGAGTAACCGAGGCGGTAGAGGAGGGGTGCAGGTACGAGCTCCCTCACCTCGTCCCCGCACACAGCGGGATCTAGAACTTATTCCTTCGCGGAGATGAGCCTCCCTCCCCAGGCTGGGTCCCCCGATGCACAACCCGGGGTGGAACTGGAGCATGCGGCCCTCACGTGTGGCCTAAGCGGAGGAGCTGCACGGCTGGTCTTGGGTCAGGAGGCTGCCTACCGCCGCCTGGGAGGCCCCGCCCCCGCTGTGCCTAAGAATAGCTCAGAAAAGCAGAACTAGGGAGACAGCTGTCTGTTGGGATGAGGCTGCACTGCCAGTCGGAGCCCAAGGGGTTCCCAGGGGTCCCCCAGTTCCAGACAAGCCGGTCCAGAACATGGGTATGTGGCACCTAGGTGCTGGAACTCAGTATTCCGACCTGGCAGATGGACACATCTGAACAGAGACGTGGCACAGAGAACCGATTTCGAACCAGACATCTCCTCGGTCTCTGCAGGCCTTGCCCTTGCAAGCTAGAAAGAGGAAAAGGGACAGAAAAGTGACCAACTGGAGTGATAAGAGCCACTAGTACAAACAGTGTGGGCCTGGGCTCAAAGTTCAAGGCTCTGCCCCCTGCCAGCCCCCAGAGGCTGGGCTCAAACTAGCTATGTAAGTCCTCCCTGGCTGGCTTCTCTCTCTCTCTCTCTCTCTCTCTCTCTCTCTCTCTCTCTCTCTCTCTCTCTCTGTCACTGGACAGGGCCCATGCAGGACCCTCTCAAGATGGCTGTGTCCATCCGTCTTTGTGGCAAATGTGACCCACAGGCAGGGGCCCACCCAGTGTCCCCTTCTCCAGGCAGCTCCCCAGCTTGGGCTCTGTGTGTAAGGCCTGGGCCCTCTGTCTCTCTGCCCAGGGGGCCGGGTCTTGGAGGTGGGCTTCGGTATGGCCATCGCAGCCGCAAAGGTACAGGAGGCACCCATCACTGAGCACTGGATCATTGAGTGTAATGACGGTGTTTTCCAGCGGCTCCAGGCCTGGGCACAGCAGCAGCCTCACAAGGTGCTGTTGGATACCCTGCTCCTGGGGGCCCCGAGACTGGGGTGGGGGTGTGTGGTCTTCCTTGGGAATCTGTTTCAGCAGGTGGATAGATTGTGGGAGCCTCAATGACCTTCAACCTATTTCTCTTCCCCTCTCCAAGGTTGTCCCATTGAAAGGCCTGTGGGAAGATGTGGCACCCACACTGCCAGACTGTCACTTTGATGGTGAGGGCACTCTGGGCTAGGCTGGGGAGGACACACAACAGGGCAGTGTGGGGCCTCTAGCTCCGACCTGGCAGCCTCTGGGCTACAGACTTGGGGCAGCACGTGGGTGGGAAGGGCACAGCGCACACACAAGGGTACATGGTCTGGCCTTCAGCACTGGGATGAGTGGGCTGAGTCCACTGGATGACTGAGTGGATGGGCTGGCGTCCCCTGCGCAGGGATCCTGTATGACACATACCCGCTGTCGGAGGAGACCTGGCACACACACCAGTTCAACTTCATCAGGGTAGGCCCCTGGGCACCCATCTTTCCTGATTTGTTGGGGTTCAGAGGCCTACAGGGAGCCCCCTTACACATCTCAGCTGCTCTTGACTATTGTCCCCCCAGAACCACGCCTTCCGCCTGCTGAAGCCAGGGGGTGTACTCACCTACTGCAACCTCACCTCCTGGGGCGAGCTCATGAAGACCAAGTACTCGGACATCACCACCATGTTTGAGGTGCAACCTTCCTACCCTAAAGCTGGGCAGGGATGTTGGGGGCAGCTGGAATTGCCCTGTATCCTAGGGAGAGGCTCCTCTTCCCACAGGGTACTGGTGGCTTGGGTTATGTTGTCATTTTCTACTTGGAAACCAGCCAAGAATCCAGCTCAAATACCTCCCATGGCTCCCTAGTGCCCATGGGATTCAGCCTGAGCCCCTCATGTTCCCTCTGCCCTGCACTGCTAGTCCAACTGACCCCTCAGGGCTTCCGTCCCCCCTGCGCCCTGTAAGCTGCTCTCCTGAAAGCCTGCTGAATGCCAGGGTGCCAAGATGGTGGGTTTTTTGGTCCTCTGCAGTCCTCTTTTGCTTCGCACTCCCTGGCAAGGACACGGGCCCACACAAGCACCCCTGGGTGGGAGCGAGTGTCTCCCCGTTCCTGGGATGCGAGTCAGGGCTGGCATTTGCGGTCACCCAAGGGTGGGAGGGTGCCACTGCCCAGGCCCCTCTGGACAGTCCTGTCCACAGCTAAGCTGTGTCCCTGTGCTCCCAGTGCAGAGCTTGGGGTGACCCAACCCTGTCCCTCCAGGAGACACAGGTGCCAGCGCTGCAGGAAGCGGGCTTCCAGCGGGAGAACATCCGCACGGAGGTGATGGGGCTAGTGCCCCCTGCCGGCTGCCGCTACTATGCCTTCCCACAGGTGATCACACCCCTGGTCACCAAGCCGTGAGCCACCCCCCCAGGGCGTGGAGCCAGCTGGGGGTGTGGACGGCCTCCGGCCCTGCCGCAGGAGCTGTGGTCTTCCTCCAGGGTACAAGGGTGAAATAAACATGGGTGCTGGGCTGGCGGATGGGCCAAGCGTGTAGCTGTCTCATTGTCCCATGGGCCCCACTGTCCCACCTGTGCAGCCATGGCAGGCACCCTCGTAGTTACAGCAGGGCTTTGAGGAGGCAGCCCCAAGGCTGGGGGTCTTGTGGAGTGAGCTTGCAGTGGTCATGTCTTCAAGTGTTCTCTTACTGCAGCCTGCCCCCATCTGTCCCCTAGGGCTATCATCCTTGTCCCCAGCCAGTTCTCCACTCATCTAGGTCTCCAGGACAGCTGCCCTCTTTGGGGACCCACTTGCTAGGGACCTTCCCGTGGGCTGTTCCCTCCATCTGGAACACCCTTCCTACTCTGTGGTTTGGCCCTTGGGTGGGGTTGGGTATCACTCTCCCCTATGTCCCAGGCTCCCCATTCCTATAGCCACCTGATACATGGTGGCACACACTGGGGACCTGCACAATCAGCCCCCAGGGCCTGGCCATTGGACATCAGTGTTGTCAGATAAGGGTTTAGACTGGAGGACAGGCATCGTCAGCAGGTGTTCGGCTGGGAGGAGTAGGGGCCAGGTGTTGGGGGCCCCTAAAGGGGCTCACTGGGACTGGGACTGTGTCTCCCAGCTGAGACACAGCTCATAAGGGCCAGCTGCCTTTTTCCTTAGTCCCTGTCCTTGACCACATGCTGGTCCATCTCCCACATTCAGAAGGGAGCCCAGGGTCAGACGGCCACTGCCCCTGCCCTAAGGTGGCTCAGTGTGGGTGGGGGAACATGGGCAGGTGTTGCTCCTGTGGGGCCTGGGAGGGAGAAGGGAGACTGAGTCAGGGTGCCAGCTTCCAGTTTCCCAAAGCCAGACTGTCTTAGGAAGAGTTGCAACTGGGTGACAGCTCAAGCCTTGGTGTTTTCACCCATGCAAAAGGCAGGAAAGACCCCACCCATGAAGCACAAGATGCTGAGTCCCCCACGAACGGCACAGGGCACCAGTGGAATCAGGGTGGTTTATTCACAGTCTTGAGGACACTCGGGTGGCACCAGTGGGTCAGGGCCATGTGGCTGCAGGGCACTACCGGCGGTACCAGATCCTGAGCTTCTTTTCGCGCTTGATCTTCCGCTGCAGCTGCAGGATGCCGTACAGCAGGGCCTCGGCTGTGGGCGGACAGCCTGCGGGGACCGAGCTTCAGTGTACCCCAGCAGCCTAACAGCCTCCTCTGCACTGGGCCCTGTGCCGGCCTTGGGCAGAAGCCCAGGACTGAGACTCTTTGGTCAACTCTAATTTGATGACAAACTTGTCTCCCTGCCTTCTGGGAGGTGCTAAGAGCCAGACCTAAGGCCTACTTCCTGTCTGTGCAGACCACTGGTCTGCCACTAGGGTCAGTGCCCCTCTGGGCTGATCGCCAGGTAGAATAAATACACTAGTTAATCGTGAACCTCAAACAAACATCCAGTACTTGTAGGGAGGTTTTTTTTTTTTTTTCTTTTGGCTTTTTAACAATGACTGTTCACTGTTACTCTGACATTCAAAGTTAATTTTTTTTTTTTGCGGAACTGGGGATTGAACTCAGGCCCTTGTGCTTGCCAGGGAAGCGCTTATTCTACTGAGCCATCTCCCCGGCCCCTTAAGAAACCCAGAACAGAATAGACTTCAGTTCTGGTGTTCTTTTTTTTTTTTTTTTTGCAGTGCCAGGGATTGAACTCAGGACCTTGCACATGCCAAGCAAGCGCTTATTCTACTGAGCTATCTCCCCAGCCCTAAAATTTTATTTATTTATTTATTTATTTATTTATGTGGGGGGGGTGGCCAGCTCAGCCCACCAGGGGGTGGTGCTGGGGGATTGAACCATGGTCCCTGTGTTTGCTAAGCTTGTTCTAAATAGGTGCTTTAGACCACTGGGCCATCTCACCAGCCCTCAAAGTTAATTTTTTAAAAATCTTTTTTGTTGTTGTTGTTTTGTTTTGTTTTGGCGGAATGGGGGATTGAACTCAGACCCTTATGCTTGCCAGGGAAGCACATATTCTATTGAGCCATCTCCCAGGCCCCTTAAATCTTTTTTGAGGAAGGGCCTCACTATGTCGCCAGGTGGGCCTTAAACTCATGGCTCCTGCCTCAGCTTCAAGTACTGGGATGATCACCATGGGATGCATCACCATGCCTGGCACTTTTATTTCGTAAATCTGGCCACGCTGAAGATCCCCAGTCTGGAATCTCAGGCCCTTCTATGAGAATGAGGACCGGGGCTAATGTCCTGTCTCCAGGGACCTTTTCCTGTTAGTTTTAGTAATTACATTTCTTTGGATTTTCTCTCTCAGAACCCTAAGAAATCGTAACTGACAAATGTTGGCCATTCATTCTGCTACTCTGACTTCTGACACAGTGACCAGGCCACCACCTGGAGCTTCTATCCATGACCAATAGGGCTAGGCCTGGGTTTGCAGGCAGGTCCTTGGGGACCCCAGTCTTCCCATCCACAGCATGGGGAGATGTGCAGGTGGGGGTGGAGCAAAGTGAGCAGGCCTGGGCTGCCCTCACCTGGCACGTAGATGTCCACGGGCACGATGCGGTCACAGCCTCTCACGACAGAGTAGGAGTAGTGGTAGTAGCCTCCTCCATTGGCACAGCTGAGGGAAAAAGTGTTCTGAGGGGCCGCCCTGGCACCATGGCCCTCCCTGCCCCACCTGCAAGGTCATCAGGTACCTGGCGAGGCCAGTCACATCTCAAGACAGATGACCCAGAGAGGCAGAAGCACCTCTGGGAACCTCCTGTGAGATGCAGCTCACAAGGAAGTATGTGCTGGGAAACACTTGGGACGCAGCCCTCAAAAAGATCTGAGCTGGGAGTGGGGAGCACAGGAGGTAGCCCTGTCTTCAGAGCAGCACAGAACCCCCGACCACCCCCACCTCCACCCGTACAGCACCGAGTGGGTGGAAAGGCGGCTGCTTGCTGTCTGCTGCCTGGACTGGGAGTAGACAGGGCAGGACGTGAAGGGGCAGCTAGGTGCAGGTGCGCTCAGGATGTGCTGAGGGCCTTGCACGTGATGCCTGGACAGATGCGAGAGCAAAGGTGGGGTAGGCAGCAGTACTTACCTCCCCATGGACACGACGTAGCGTGGCTCTGGCATCTGGTCGTAGACCTGGATGAGACGCAGCATTAGGCTCCGCGTGCTGCTCAGTGCGGACCAGAGGGTAGGGTGGGACTGGGCCTACCTTGCGGAGTGCCGGGGCCATCTTGTTGGTGAGTGTGCCGGCCACAATCATCACGTCGGCCTGACGTGGGCTGGCGCGGAAGACCACGCCAAAGCGGTCCATGTCATAGCGTGGTGCGGCCATGTGCATCATTTCCACAGCACAGCAGGCCAGGCCAAAGGTCATGGGCCACAGCGAGCTCTGCGGGAGGGCCAGGCCAGTCAGTCACTGTCCATGCAGGTTTCTGCCCTACCATTAAGATCAGCAAGGCCAATAGCTAGGCTCCGTCCTGGGAGAGGGCACAGAACCAGAGCCATCCCCACCCATGCACCCCAGAATGTGACCCAACAGCCTGGATGCATGTGCAACTCCCGCAGGAAGCCCTCCTGGTTCCCACGCTGTTCTCTAGCACTTGGTGTCTTGTGACCCCCAGCTTCTGGTCCCTCTGGCCTGGGTCTGATATCTAGAGGTTGCCTCAATGGTCATCAGTAGATGTGTCAATGTGGGTGGCAGCGCAGGGCTGCAGAGTGGGAATAGGTCAGCCCGTGGTCTGCAGGGCCAGGACCACCTGGCTGGCACCTGCACTGGGAGGACCCTGACCATGTCCTTGGGCTTCAGCGATTACAAAGGACCCTGCAGAGGGCAGCTCCATCCTGGCAGCTGTGGGCTTGCACTGGAGGCTGCCCTGGGCACAGTGCCCAACCCAGACAAAGGGGGAGGCGGAGCTGTGCACGCCATCAATGGGCCATTGTGAGACAGTACCACAGCGAGGCCGGGCACTGGGCAGAGCTGCGGGGAGCGTCTGGCTGGTCACAGGGAGGCATGGTGTGGGTGCCGCGTGGGAGGGCTACGTGGCTGTTCCTGAGAAGGACCTGCATTCAGCCTGCATGGCTAAGGTTAAAAATCACTTCCACATTAGAAGAGAAAAGAAGGAACACAGAGGCAGAATGAGTCCTGCAGGAGGAGTAGCTGGCTCACTGGGCCCAGGGCAAGGTTAGGCAGTGGGGAAGGAGAAGCCCCCACGACACCCCAGGAAAGCCCAGCCTTTCCCCGGGCCCCACAGGTAGTGTGTATGTCGATGGGGGTAGAGAATAGTGGGGCTCACCCGGCGAGCCCAGTTGATGAGGTCGTCCAGCTTGGCCACCACATACTCGCCGCGGCTCTTGGGGAGTGTGGGGGGCTTTTGGATCACGGCTCCAACCTTGGATACAGCAGGCTGGGTGCTGGGCAAGGGGACATGTAGGCATGGGAAGCATCAATGACACAACCACAAGGAGGCCACTCTCACCCTTGTCCAGAGGCATCCCAACCTGGGGTAGATGCCAGGAGGTGAGGACAAAGGAGCAGTCTCTGGCAGCGTTTACAGGGAGGCCCAAGCCACAGTCAGGAATCCCTGAGTGTGAAAATGAGGCAGGGCTGCGCCCAGGGCTCTGGGAGGTGCTGTCAGCATCCAGGACCCCAGAATAGATGTGGCTGTAGGGCTTCCAGGGGACCAGGATATGCAGTGCCCAGAAGGCACCAGAGGGCAGGGTTGGGGGGCTCACCTGCTCGGGTCCGCAGCAGCCAGGCTCTGGTGGACACCTCGCGCCTGCAGAGCTGTGCCCACACTGGAGCTGCAGAGGGTTAGGTAAGCAGCTGTCCCAAGCCCCCTTCCACTTGTCTCTCCCTGCCTTGGACGCCTCGCCACTCTGCCCACTGGCCCCACCCCTCGCATGCTCAGACTGAACAGCTTTTTCAAGTGTATAGGCCTCCGAGCACCTGAGGAAGGATGACCCTGGAAATAGCTAAGAAGGAGACCTGAAATCAGCCCCCGCCCCATGCTGGACCGAGAGGACACTGGGAACTGCAGTAGATGGGTG